TACACTAAACTTCACATATTCTGTAACAGTCCCACCCTGAACACGTCCTCATAACTTCAGTGTACATGGTCCAATCTCAATGAAACTTCACGTTTGATAAGAGTCCCGCCCTGAACATGTCTACATGACAATATTCAGATATAGTGATAGTGCCACCTACTGGCAACAGCAAGCGATTTTGATCAGATTTATGTGAAATTTTCATGTTGTGGTCTGCACGTGTTGTGGTCCGCATGTGTTACGACAGCACATGATGCGGCTGCAGCACACCCCGAGTTGCGTGGAGTGCGAGGGCCCGTTCATCGCTGCTTGCAGCCTTAATTTATATATTGCCTTTATTCGACAGGACAGACAGGAAAGGGGAAAGCAAGGGGTTGACACGCAGCAAAGGGCCACAGATTGGAGTCGAACCCATGGCGGCTCAGTCTTAGTACAAGGGTCGCCAGTTCTACCAAGTGATCTACCAGGGCACCTCCAAGAGTGCAATTAAGCTGTGTTTTTTTTAACATGGGGACACCAAAGGAGACTTGAAATTTTATGACTTTAGGCTTGGCTTGATACCTCGACCTTGATTTTAACATCAGTGACTTAGACTGGAGCGTTTTGACTTGAATACCTACCTCCAAGGCCAAAGATGAAAAAGCATGTCATTTAAAAAGTGCGCCACAAATCATTAATTTCCTGAATCCGATTTCAGTCATTTGTTAGTACCAAGTCAACACTTAATTCCTCAGATCCACTTTGTTTGAACCAATTCGACAACATCCAGTCAAGTTGCAGGAGAGAACCATGAAGAACTAACATTAGGTTACTACGCACCTTTGTTTCATCTGTTCTTAAAGCTGCAGTAAGTCATTTTTATAAAAATACCTTTTTGTCATTATTGCTGAAACTTTCACTGTGTTCTGACAGCCATACAGTGAAAAAATCCTCCTAGTGCTCCTAATGGCACTTAGAAGAATCCACCGGGCCTGAAAGAAAATAACCAATTGGAGGGGAGAAAGATTATCTGTATCATGTACTACTGTCAGGATAAAGTAAGAGTTTCAGCAAGTATGACAAAAACATATTTGTATAAAAATGACCTGCAGGTTTAAAATGGAATTATGTCTGGCGAAGAATTCATTATTTTTTGTTTAGGACTCAGAGTTCAAAGTTTAGGACTCTGGACTTGTCTGTCTTGACTTTGGACTTGAGACTTACTTGTGACTTGCAAAACAATGACTTGGTCCCACCACTACATAAAACCAACTGTTATAATGTAATTGAAGTTCAGTACTCAAGTTGACAAACTGAACCATTTCCATGACAACTGAGTAAACTGCATCCGTTGATGAAGACTGCGAGATGTGGCTGAAAGCTCCTGGAAGAAATCCAGTAAGAGGACCTACTGTATACTGTTAATGGCAAAGCGGGTTATCAAACTGCGACCCCAAACTGCTACCGATGCTGTTTCATTGGTGTGTGAAAGGGCGAATGTGGTGTGTAGTGTAAAAGCGCTTTGAGTAGTACAAGTACATTTCCATTTACCATGTTTCTTATGCCTACACCATTCAGTCAAATGGAGATACTGCTGAAGGTTTGTCCTGTTTCCTGATCTTATATGCCTTTGTGACTTTTAAATGACCTGGATCTTCCTTGGATTTTTGTTTGATGACATTTTACCTCATTTTTTAATTTAATTTTATTCCGCTGTAAAGCTGTGTGCTCATACCCATACAGTTTTCTGTATAACCCTCAATGCATTCTTCCAAACCAAATATACCATAGTACTAAAAAAATAATTGTTTTCGATGCTGTGTGTTGAGATGTTGGCTCGTAACCAGGATGTAGTAGCAGTTTTAGTGCTGAGGTGTCCTTAACCCCCCCTCCCCCCCCTCCTCGCCATACCAGCTTTCACTCCTTGTCTCTTTTTCACCGTCACTGTGTGTTGTCACAGCACCAGAGTCAATATTTGAATTAAAGGGCAAGGTCAAAGGCCACTCCTATTAACACTTCACATTCACCAGCTGCACTCAGCCCCGCCCTGATAACACGGATCTGAATCTTTCCACACACCCCATTAGTCTTGAATAGGATGCAACTTCCTGGTTGGAAGGGAGGCACAATGCAGCAGCTCATGAACACCAGAACTTACCTCAGATAGTGCTGAGAAATACCAACACACTGTTGTAACTCAACAGTCTATTCACTGCTTCACCTTAGATCACCTTTCTCTTTTGAACCTTTCATTTCTGCCTTGTGATAGAGCATCAAATATATTTCTTTGTGCTAAAAAGAAAGAAAAAAGAATGCTGCCAAAATGATTGGTGTGGAGACATTGATTGATGCATTAACTTATAGTTTTAAAAGCCAGTGGAAACACGTATTTGCATGGAATCTCTTGATATTAAAAAATGGCCATATTCAACAATTTTATCATTTAAATGTACTACAAGGAGTTTTTAACTGGTTATGAAACAGGTCATTTTTATAGTTTATTTTTCTAGTGCTCCTAATGGTATTTGCAAGAATCCACCAGGCCTGAATAAAAACAACCAATCAGAGGCAAGAAATTTAGTTGATGGTTAAGTCTCATTCCCAGGTTATCCAGTACTGACACTGGGAATGAGATTCAACAATCAACTATCTTAAAGCCACCAACACAGTGTCTTTCTTCTTTTTTTCGAATATAGTAAAAGTTTCAGCAATATAATAAAAAGTTAAAAAAGTAAACCAACAAGACCATCAGAGAGAAGATTGGCTATTTCTATATGGTTATTCTTAATACCTGCCACAGAGTCAGACATTAAGGTGGTGGAAACTCTACCGCTTTTGTCAGCAGGGGCCACCAGAATCAACACAAAAGTTCCTTGTTGGGGTTTTGAATTAATTTATTATTCATGTAACATTAAACTAAATCTAAACCTAACTCTAAAGCTATAGTAACTTTTATAAAAATAAATTTAGTCATATTTGTTGAAATGTTCAATATATCCTGACAGTAGTACAGATTACAGTTACCTATAAAGATATAGTTACCACCTTACTTTTGTTGTCACCCCCATACCGTTTTAAAATCAACCACCCAATTACATCCCTGGCTTCACTTTTGTAATGCATGGTTGCAACAGGTTGTATTTAAGATTTGTTTAAGATCATTATGAATGCAATTTGAGACTTATTTCACATCCATGCTGGCAAAAATATATCGGTATATATATATATAAATCGGTACTGGCTGAAAATGGTTTTTGTTTTGTCATGATAAATCAGCAGCGGTGGCCTAAAGGTTAGAGCACGGTCATCGGTTCAATCCCGAGACCGGGAGGATAAATCTGGTTGGGGAATGTAAAGAAGCAGTGCTTGCCTCTCCCTCACTACTGAGGTGCCCTTAAGCAAGGCTCTCACCAACTACTCCAGTGGAGCTGCTCAGTGACAGCACATTAGACTGTGGTAGTACTGGAAAGCTTCCAGGTATGAATGTGTAAGAATGTGACATATAACGTGTGAGTGCAGGGCGTTCCTGCAAAAAAAAAAATAAATCAGGTTCCTCTGGCTCCTCCTAGTGCTCCTAATGGCATTTGTAAGAATCCACAAGAATACGAGAAAGCTTGATTGGGTCCCAAATCTTCAAGCCACCAACCCTTCTTTCTTTCATCTTTCTCAGCTCTGATTGGTTGTTTTGGTTCAGGTCCAGAGGAGTCATTACAGCACTAGCAGGAGCCAGATGAACCTGATTTTTTCACTGATCTTATTATAGCATTTAATGAATAGAGAGAGCTAAAGAGGAACAGGGAATGACACCTACCAGGTGAGCTACCAGAGTTCCCCACTTAATACATTTTAAGGCCTAAATTCACATATTTTGGATTTAAGACTTTATTAGACCCCGCAGCCAACCTGGAAAAGATAGATCTGAACATATCTGAACCTATCCTACTGCATGTTGTAAATGTTTTTGCATAATGTCCCTATCCCCTGTAGTTAATATTTGCATACTGTTTCCATTTCATCCAAACTGCTTGTTGTTCTCTGCAGTACCACTCTCAAATAAAACACAGCACCATCTATATTCAGACATTTATTTAATACACTGTGTACAAAAGAATTCAACTGAAAATATGACATGTGTATGAATGTGTATTCTGTATTCGTACAAACACATGAATACCAACATTTCATACTGACAAAACCTGAACCCGTCTTAAAAAGGGACCAACGGTCAAGATTGTATCAAAATAAAATAAAAAACATTGGAGGGTGGAGGAAGCAACAAAAAACTTTACATTCTAACAGTCCCACAAGAGACGCAAGGGTCACTGTTTTCACAGAAAACACTCAATATATCTGACCCACAGAGCAGTTCATCATTCTTCTGACTCCTTAACACTGACATTTTAAACCCTTCCTGGGTTCCACACAGGCAGCAGCTTTGAGATCAGGGAGAAGCTGCTCCTCTGACAGGACCGTAGCGTGTCTGACTGCCATGCCACGCATACGTCGAGCTGACAGTCTGACTGTGAGCTGCTGAGTCAGAGTGTACAGACGGAAAGCTTACATAGAACACACATTGCTGGGTGCTTCTTCACAGTCAATACCAGTTGCTCTAAGGAAAGAAAAAAAAAAGGCCTTTCTCATCAGGTCAGCAGAGTTAATTTATATTTTTTTCCAGGGCTGGGCCAAATAAAGCAGTTTAAATACTATACGATTCTTCTTCAGGCCCAGTTTCAATAAATCATAGCTGTGGTTTAATTTTGTTGGCCTTTATAAAGTGCTTCCTAAATTTTTGTCTTACATAAAAAATCATGTAAGGAAAAAGATTTCTGACCCTTGTGTACAAACCTGACTGATGACGTAAAAAAACTAGGAATATTAAAGCAATATCACATGTAGTTATACAGTTACAACAGCCACAATAAGAAGGGAATTCAGTCGTGTGGAAAGCTTTCTGCTGAGGAGGAGACTTCCGTTTGGTCGACCATGTTGATGGCGTGGAAAGTGACGGAGCAGATAGGCAGCTGGCCGCAGCAGCTCAGACATAGTGGTCAAGTGTGGTGGCTTGTGTCAGTCTCACTGTTAAAAAATGATCACTATAAAAACACTAAGTCCCATCGGTGATCATCTTAGAGTCCCTCAGTTTACTCTCTCTTTGCTCTCCCTCTCTCATGGGAGGCAGATCCCACTGCTGCAGGTTGGTCGCCTACAGAGCGACTTCACAGACACAGCAGAGTGTAGGACACAACTTCATACTTGTTCTATTTGTGTCTTAAAACCCCTGCAGTGATTTGATCACAGAGAGTGGCTCTTCCAGCGGCCAACAGTTATCAAGAGTTGTTCCCAGGCTGGCAGCAGTGCCGCCTAGTGTCCGTGCTGTTGGTGCTGGTTGTGTTGGTTGTTAGCAGGGTGGTTGGGGGGCAGTGGTGGTCCGTTTACCCCAGGGTGGTAGAAGGCACAGTTGCTCTCGTACCTACAGCTTCCCTTCATCATGAAGTGACGACACACAGGCCTCTTGGACATGTCTGATGGTAGGAAACAACAGAATTAATGTCACACACAGTTCACATGATCTCCTGTCTTCACCCGGTCCCTTTATTTACCATTGCAGACTTATATTAGAGGCTTAATTATTCATTATTTTCAGTCGCTTGTACTTTTGATGACTGTCTGACTTGATGACTACTGTCAATAAAACTCAGCACTTTCTTCACCACTTGCCACTTCAGGCTAGGAAATCTAACAACTCACTTGCCCAAGTGGTAAAAAAGAATGAAACACATGATTTTTCTGGATCTGATAATGGAAGTATCTAAGGAGTGAGGCATCTTGCTTAGATCATTCCACCTTTACACACTTTTTATTGAGACTAATATTTGAGAATAGAGATTATTACCCAAGCCTTATGTCCCACTTACCATTCATGTTGTTGTGTCCTCCTCTGGGCCCTCCTCGTCCTCGTCCCCTGAAGCCCGGCTCTCCTCCTCGGCCCCGACCTCCTCGGTGGAAGTGGCCCCCTCTGTGGGGCCCTCCTCTCATGGAGTCATCTCCCCAGTAGTTGCCGTTGTCTCCCCGGCCCTGGCCTGGTGGAGGCCCCATCATGCGTGGGCCTCCGCCGGCATTGAAAGGTGGTCCGTGGTTGTGGGGGGGCGGGGGGTGATTGAAGCGAGGCCCACCCTGCGGGTTGTTGGGCGGGTAGCCACCGTTCATGGGAATCTGCATGTGCATGTTCATATTGTTCATGTTGTTCATCCCCGGCCCGTGGCCCAGCAAACCCTGGTTGACTGGATAGAGAGAGAAACAGGGATGAGAGACAGAAGGACCAGGACAGGTACTGCAACTGCAGGAGGACAGATGGAGCTCAACAATGAAATAAGAGATGGGGTTTACCTGGTGGAGGTCCACCCTGGTTCTGGTTCTGGTTCTGGTTCTGCTGCAGGGAGCCCAGTAGCTGTTTAATCTTGTCTGAGAAGTCAGGCTGCTTGATCAGGTCCTCAGTAGACTGGTTCCCAGAAGCACCCTGATACAAACAGGTGTTATTAGCTACACATATTTACACTGATATTTAAGTCTCGTGTGTTGGGTGTGCTTTAATTAGTGCGTTTGATCCAGAAACAAAATGGATAAAAAGTTTCTCCTGCTGACTATCTGACTGTGTTATCATATACTTACCATGATAGACGAGAGCAGCTCCTGCACATTGACGGTGGGAGCCACGGGGTTGTTGACGGTGTTTGTGGCTTGCGGGCTGCGGGAGGTGTTGCTCAGATTGACCATGAGGTTGGCCAAGACGGGTGGCAGCTTGGAGCTCTCGTTCTGGTTCAAGGCGGAGCCCTGCTGTGACGTGGTGTCCATGGGTTCACCGTAGCCGTCGTCCATCGCTGAGGAGTCCTGCAGGGGGAGAAGAGTAAGGGTTTAGTGGGGAAGGTATTAGGGCTGCAAACTAATGGTTTGTTTCATTATTGATCTATCTGTGGATCATTTTCTCCATTAATCGACTGTTTGGTCCAGAAAATGTCAGAAAATTGTGAAAAGTAAAAGCCTAAAGCCCAAGGTGACATCCTTAAATGTCTTGTTTTTACAACCCAAAAATCAAATCAAATAATATTTCGTTATATAGGTCTTGTGTCTTAAAAAAATACTTAAAACTATTAATCAATTATCAAAACAACTGGCAATTAATGTCATAGTAACTAAACTAATTAATTAATCAACATGGTATAAACATGTGTGGAATGTGTTTAAGAAGAGAAAGAGACGTGAGAGACAGAGTGTGTTTGGTTGTACTAACCTCATCCAGGGGGATGAGACGGGGAGGCATCGGTTCATAAGGCTCTGGGTCTGGTTCATGTGGACTGTCGGGCACACTAGTGATAAGGAAGGATAGAAACCATTAACACACATTGCAGCCCGTCACCCTCAGAAGTTAGACATATAAAAAGTGTCCATTTGGATATCTCAAGAACGCGGTCTTCGCTTTTTAGCATTTATAGCGCATATGTTTGAATCTGGAAACTACCACACATACAGCAGTCCTACCTTTCTTTGCTGAGGAAGATCTCTTGCAGGATGCCCATCTCACGGTCCCTCTGGGTGAGTTTCTCTGTGCTGTTGGCCCCAGGGGCAACCAGGCTGCCGGTCAGCATCAGGGGCCTCGGGGGTGTCCAGGGTACCCTCTCTTCCATGGTGTCATGGGAGAGCCGGCGGGCCATCTCAAACGTCTGCCTGTCCATCATCAGCTCTCGTTTGGCAGCCTCGCCGAAGTCCTTGATCTTGTTGACGTTGACTGTGGACAGTAATTATAAGTGTAAACAACATCATTAGTAATATATATTTCTTGTTGGATACAGACCCACTGGTGTCTGAGAACAGTACACCCATGCCTTACCTCTCTCTGTCTCATCCAGGTCAAAGTAGAAGTAGTGTTTGAGCTGCTCCTCCTCCGCCCAGTGAACGCTCTTCTTCTTCTTGCCCTTCTTGGTCAAGCTTTCTTCTTCCCCGCGTGGTTCTGCCAGAGCATTAGGCTTCTCGCCTGGAGACAACAAGAGACAATGAGAAGGACATATGTTAGGAGGCTGAGAACACGTAAAGCATAAGATGGTAAAATATCAAAATGTATTTGAGTGAGTTTTTGAGGACCTTACCGTTGTCAGAGGCCTCTGGGTCCTCAGTGGGAATAGGGGTCCCAGGCTGCTCTGTATCCTGGTTTTCGTCAGCAGGAGTGGCAGAAGCAGTTTCTGGTGATGATGGTTTAGCAGAAGATGAAGAATACGTAGACGGTTTGCTGTCAAATGGACTTGGCTGAGGACAGAAAAAGAAAAAGAGTTAGATGACGGGTTTAACACGCAACTTTTACATTCTTATTATTCTTTTATTTGCGTGTAAAAAGACAAATATGCTGACAGCTAACAGTTCCTAATATTTCAAAAGCATTAGGAGACAGACTGTGATTCAGCCATTTCCTCACTAATTTGCATGCTTGGTTCAAATTCAACACAAAATCTGAACACAAAGGCACAAAATTGAAAATATTCTGTGGATGTTTTGGACACAGTGGCCATAGAACACACTGATACTAACGTGAGATGAGTCAGTACCTTGTTAGACGTGGGGGATACAGCCTTGGTACTGGTTGTAGTAGTAGAACCAGGTTTCTTCTTTTTGATCTTGATCCCGGGCACTGGGGCAGAATTCAGAGCATCTAGGAACCCTGTGCACTCCATCGCTGCAGTGAGGACACAAGAGACAACAGCTCAGTTTACCATCGCTATGGTCTCTTGAAGATATAGCTCCAGGCTGATTTTGCCTTTCTATATGTTTGAACTTACGTTGTGCTGGAATGATCTTGACTTTGATCTCTTTGGCAGAGTTAGAAGGGGTATTTAGAGGTTTGTATTTTTTCTCCAGAGGTGGCGCGTCAAATGGACCAGAGCTGTTGAAGGACAGAAAAGAAAACTATCATCAACCACCTGAAGGCAGCAACGTGTGAGGCAGTTGCATGAACACACCACGAGATGGTGCTGTGCTAACAGATATGGACAGTTGACAGGCAGAGGATGCAATACCATGGTCTCTTGAGGACTGGGGGCTTGATGTTGTATTTGTCGCCCAGCTGCGGGGCTGCGGGCGTCTTCTTCGCAGGAGCCGGGTTGGGGGTGTCAATCTCTAATCCTGCACAACACAAAAGAGAGATTTTTATCTCATTTAGAGCTTTTTAAAATCCATCGTACAGGGCCAACTACGCCACTGCTCATCGGCTTACCTATGGAGCGAATCTTTGCATGGCTGGGTGCATGAGCTTTAGGTTTTTCCTTCTTCTTTTCCTCCTCTCCAGTCTTTTCCTTCACATCCCGCATCGGCACCTTGCACTCCTCTTTCTTCTTTTTCTTATCTAGAAGATAAACACACAGTGTGTTACAAACTGCTGCAAGGAGCATTTACATGCACACTAATTTCTCATTATTATTCCGAATATGTCAATATTCCTCATTTGATAAGGGTATAACAGCATATTCTGTCTGGGTATTAAGCCCTAGCTGTTCCAACATGGGAGAAACATGACTGCAGTTTGGACATACAGTATTAATTAATTAACACTTACACGGGAATATAAGTGGAATATAAATTTTCATTAGCAATGTTAAAAGCTTAGTAAGAATATTGTCTTATTCAGAATAAGTGCAAAACCACAATGTTTTGTGCATATAAACTTGGTCATTGTAAAGCGGACACAGACAGTGAAAAGGTGAAATGATAGGTCTGTACCGGCAGGAGAGTTGCCGCTGCTCGACACACTCTGTGAGCGGATCGTAGCCATCCAGCCATCTACGAGCACAGATGCCAACTTCCTCAGGTCTAAAAATAAAAAGACAAGAATTTCAGTGAGATACACACTGCTGTCTCTAAAAAAGGGCTGGGATTTTTAATGACAAGCCAACTGACCTTCAGTGTCTGCACTCTTACTCAACTGCTTCACCAGCTTGGCTGTGTTGTTCTGGGAGAAGATGGAAACAGTGGTTAGATGTGACAGCTGTTGTTTGGCGTACTGGAGGAGGAGTGTTCTGGTAGATATACTGAAGGTAAACTGTACCTGTTTGAGGTGGTCCACTTTGAGAGGCAGCTTCTGTAGTGTGAGCAGGATGAGCTGCAGCAGGGGGGTGTTGTTGGTGGTTTTGGAGTAGGTGAGCCAGGAGTTGAGCATCCTGTAGCCACCAACTCTGATAAACCTGGATGAAGGAGGGAACAATTGATTTATAATATAAACATGTACTATTATATGAATGGAAACAATATATGAAGTTGACATCGTCCAACTGTTTTTCTTTACACCACGGGGAGCTTCAAATTGTGAGAAATTGACTTGTTGTAACAAACTTCATAAAAACAACATTCTCTGAACTAGTGAACTTTGAATTATTGAATGCATAAAAAGCTACCATTATGTGAAACTGTATCACAAGAACAAACAAACGTGTGTGAGGAAAATTTATGTATAAATGTGCCATGGTTCCAGCCTACTTACTTAAAGTTAGCTTATGCACTCATGTGTCATTTTGTTCATGTAAAGCTGCAGTACGTAACTTTCACAAAATAACTTTTGTCAAATTTGCGGAAACTTTCACTGTATCCTGACAGTAGTACACGAGACAGAGAACAGATAAAAATCAGGTTCCTCTGGCTCCTCCTAGTGCTCCTAATGGCATTTGCAAGAATGTTTTGTTCGGGTCCTTAAAGGGGAATTATAGACTATTATAATTTTTTTGCATCAATGCACGCCTTCATTACATTAAGACCAGTCCATTTCATGCATGACAGGCGTAACAAAACGGAAACTAGAGAGTTAACCCGTTATGAATGCAATTTAGAACCTATTTTACTTTTCAAAAAAGTGAGAAGGATATGAAGGAAAATCTGTATTGATCCTACGTTGGTTTGTTTTGTAGTTGTATGGTCAATGGCATGACCAATACATATTTTCCCCAAAAACATTTTTTGATAATGCAACTTTATACAAATAACATTAATTTAATTAACTAATTAATCAATTTTGCAGCTGTCAAATCATATTTAAGACCTTTTAAAGTCTAGTCTTAGGCTTTTTAAGACCTGGCAGACACCTTAAAGTCAGGCCTACCTGTTAAGAACATCGTGGGATTTCGTCTGCAGCAGGATGTTCAGGTACATACATCTACTGACCATCTTGGTAGAGGCTTTCATCAGGCTGCATTGAAAAGGAGCAAAGGTGTTAAGGTATGCCCTATTGTAAGAAGATATTTAAGATAGACACTTAAAAGCACAGACACGTGTCATGTCTAACTTCAGTTCCTCACCTGAACACTTTTGGGACTCCCTCCAGGCTACGGAGCTCTCCATCTTTTCCCAACAGAGCCTCTACACCCTTCAAAACTTCTCTGGGGTCCACCGGTCCCCCTGCCATATCTGAAACACACACCTTAAACAATTAATACACATTCCAAAAGGAAAGGATGCATTATATTTTCTGATAGGTACAGACAATTGTTTATCTGTGCTAAAAGGCATTTAAGTGCTGATTACTGAGGACTGTTTGCCTGCCAGGCAGAAAGGGTGCTCCATGCTACAGTATTTCCACACAGGGACTCAATAAACGTGGTTTGGTTCAAACAAGTCCCGTCAAGGATTTGCATCAAGACCGAAACAGGCCAACAAGGTCACCGCAGTCGTATTCAACTCACGAATAAACACAGTGCACATTACACTCTGAATCATCTCACTACAGTGATCAAGTGAACACCAACCTGTCTGTACCAAAGCTCCCATCAACAACAAGGTCCAAAGAACCGATGCACAACACCCAAACACATCAACACAAACAAGAGTCCAAGCAGCAGCACGTTCATCAAGCTGCCAAACAGCCCTAGTTACAAACCAACTCACAAAGCAGTGATTGAGGAGCAGACCACTCCGACCTACTAATGATACTACTACTACTGCAAATGATTTGAATATCAGGCTACGGTAGAACACTATCTACACTGATGATCTGGCTCACATGGTCACATACAAGTCACTAAAAGTACAGGCAGCAGCATTTTCTTCCAGCCACACAGTACTGTTGCTCTGGCAGTCAGACATCCACAGTGCACGATGGTTCCACATGCTGCCTCATACTTGACATGTTTGGAGTGGTTCATGGGGACAGCAGGACGCTGCAACGTATTCCTCAGCACCAGAGTGTTTCCTCTCTGGGATTTTTATTCGCGGGACAGGACATATAGTAGTATAGTTAGCATGTTCATTATTGTGTGTGAGGCAACGCTGTTTATTCCAGTTAACAAAACTGCATGTTTATAAAACTGACGTAAAAACATAACATACAACATAACTTTTTTTTATTTACCTGTTTCCCTAATCATATCAAACTTAACTATTAAAATGTATAAAATATTTATAACTATCTTTATTTCTTTACAAATAAAGGTATTACATGTATCAAACACAAAACAGGGTGAAAGGTCAAAGTTTTGTTAGGATAAAAGTATAAAAAGAGAAGAATTTTTGCAAGAAATGTTACTAATAATGATTTATACACTTTTTAATAGCACACGTCTATCACAATCATTCACATTTGTGTAACTCAAACAAGAGGATGGAAACAAACATCAAAAAAACTACTTTCACTAATTAATATGATGAGAAGATGAATGGTACAAATTCAGATTATATAACAAATTAAAATGTGACCGAAGGTAACTGTATGAAGTATGAAATGCTTGAAAACTGTAGAATTAGTCTGTTAAATGCTCATCTGTGTCTGTTCAAATGGGATTATCTGACTGAAGGCATCCCTTTGTCGGACTACAGTGCTGTTAATGACATCACTGTCAACACTTCCAGCCAGAGGGTACAAGTCAGGCCACTTACTGCCACCTACTGGTTAGTTTAAACACTGGCACTATGTTGTCTGTGTTGTTGCACAATAGAGAAATGCATTACAGATCATTACAATTGTTAGTGCAGCATCACATGACAATGGGCTGACCTGTCACACATTAACCTAACTATAAAACATGAATGATGATTTATAATCTCTACAAGTACTTATCTTTGAAAAGTCTGATGTAATCCAAACAAAGACAGCCAACACTAAGTCAACGTGCCTTTATAAATCTCTTCACTTTTATGGATTGGAAAAATTGTAATGACAGACAGCCTTATGAATGAACCCCCAAGTGGTTCATGATGTAACTGCTTGGACTGAGTCTTGTAAACATGCACTTGTTTCTCCGTGTTTATGCGTCTTATAATGAAGCTTTTGTGCCAATTGGTGTACAAAACCTGCAATTCTGGCGGAAATCAATTCACTGGAAAAGTCATGACGTGAGGAATCAGTTAGATCTTACCCGTGTAACTGTTGTAGTAGAAGTTTTATATAGTCTCAGACCTCCACAACACTGCAAATAACCCAATTCCTGTAAATGTCACAATTGTTACACATATACACAAAATCAGTATTAAACAAGGCCCTGGCTCCTGATTCATTATTTGTGCATAGTAATACTGTGGTGTATATATATATTGCTGGTACATTATGGCAAAACAAAACTCAATGACCAAGCCCTCTACAAAAACTAATTACCGTAATGTTAATAACGGTTGCGCAACATGAGTATGAGTAAGGCAACGGCGTATATTCATCACTGAGAAAGCGAATGAATCAAAAAAAGTAAAACGCCCTCGGTTATATAAGGGCAGTACACGCAGCCTATAAATGGCTTGCGCTTAACCTGACATCTGTCATAGCTGAGAACATGCCTGCTCCTGCGGCTAAGCTGCTTGACAAAGGGGAGGGAGCTGGAAGCTGGCTGCTTATCAGAGCCCTCCCTCCATTAACCACTTCGACGACGGCAAACCAAACCCCTACACAACTAACAATTGCTCTCTTAGCAAAGACCGTACTGCTTGGTAAAATAACATGGCTACATAGCGAACCCATACGGCACTCAGACAGTGCCGTTGGGGCACCACCTGTTCTGCATTTCAGTTTTGTTTTAAAAAAACAACAAAAACAAACAAAAAACACTCCCAAATGTAGCTCCGAGAACGCGGCTAGCCCCCGGAGCTGTCCCGAGGACGAAAGGCAAACCACAAACAATCCGCCATATTTGTTAATCCCGACTGTTAGTGCTTCGAAAGACCACTTCGCTTGAGTCATCCTGCAATCTTTATCCACAGATTGCCGAGTACATGATGCGGGCTTTCGGGAAGTGCTATAATTATCGACATTTCAACACACAACAGTGCTTCATAAAGTATGTCCACAATCCTTAAACTAACGCAATCTTTATGTATAGATTGCGGTGGGTGTTCGTTCCGTGGAGCAGCCCCTACACAGCAAATCTGGCAGGCAAAAAGTCCGACTTCATGAGCTGGAATAGAGCTTCTTATGCCTACGGCAATCTTTATGAATAGATTGCTTATGGTTATTTTACGAATTTACTGGCTATATTAAGTTTTTATTTGTACAATTCGTCCATTCCGTCTCACACACAAAGAAACGGAGCCTTGTGCATCCGTCCACTTTCCTGTGTGAGCTCATACTATAGTCTATATTCAAATTATTTACTAAGAACCAAGCTAACTTACGGTGCCTGCTAGGCAGCTACCGCTAGCTAGCCTATTGTCTACGACTATTTTCATTTAATTGCTTTCGATTCAATTTAACTTCAAAATCAACTTACTATTGATACTATAGATCCTCAGCGTCTCGGGTATAATAGAGTGTGCTTTTCAGGCACTTATATCTCTTATTTCATCAATTTTACATCGTCAACCTTCATGGTTTTAATATCAACTGAAAGACTTCTTATGGGTGGGGCTGTGATAGCTAAAGGCTAGCCTTCCTTCAGGAACAAACTGGAGGCAAAAATAGTAATCAAATGTCCATTACTTGAAGAAAAAAATATGAATTTGAGTAGAGTTGTTCAAAGTCCTCGACGGGTCAGTCTTCGGCAAAGCAAATTCATACCTGCAAAACACACAAAAAAAAACATACACTTAATTTAGACTGACAAATTTCGCCGTCTTTCGTCTATATCAACGTCCTTTGTTGGTTTTTGAATACATTCAGTAGGTATTTCACATTTAAAACGGACAAAATGTTGAAAATAAGCCTTGCTGTCTTTCTGACTTCACTTACCTTTGACCAAATCCAGGAATGAGCTCGAAGAGGAGGGACTTAGGTTTTATACTACGTGACGTTTTTTTACGTCACAGCCAACGTTTTTCACGTTTTCGGTGAAACAAAATGGTGGATGACCGACCTTCTCTGCCTGGCCAAGGGCATAATGGCGTATCTTACAATTTGGAAACTATTATATGGAATTACTCGCTAGATTCCCCATAAAAATATTGTGTATTTGTATAATTAAAAAGACAATAAAGCAGACCATCGCATTTTGTTGATTTAGCTAGATTTGATTAATTATTTGATATATATATTTAGTTAATATTATTTCTTCAAAATGGCGACTGATTTCTCGGGCCGTGAGGGTCACATGCGCCAGTCAGAGAACGCAACATTTTAACAATCATTTATACCAACCGACTAAAATAAACACAATTAAATATAACTGATATGCATAGTGTAAATCATTATTGGTCACATTTTGAAATACGATTTTACGTTTAACACAGCTACAATATAGCCCTTTAACCTTTCACCTCTAACCCCAGTCTGTGACAGAGAAAAATGGCTGCCTCCATCCGAGGCATCGTGAGGGTTTTGTACCGTCTATCACCTTCAATTTTACATCCATTACGACAGTACCCGGTATTATACTTAATTTTGCTTTTGATATACAAATCATCCGATTCATTTGCGTGATTCGTTTGCACCAAGGTTTTTATATGTTGAAGTCAGAAGAAACGTTGGACCTAGTTAACGTTAATGGTAGTTAGACAAGAATAACGACACAATGTCATGTAACGTTCATCCTTGCGTGAACTTAATTGAATTGGAAAGTTATTGGTAATGGTACACACTGGGTAGGACACAGGACATTGTATTATTTCTCAGTAAGGTGTGCTATTGACTGTATTCTGTAAATTAACGGCATTATTGGAACTAGAGAATGCTGGATGTTAAAAGACTGACGCCAATGGGCTTATTGGAAGATTTGTTGTTGTTGTTGTTGTTGTTGATGTTGTTGTTTTTTGTTATATAGAAAGTTTATACTGACCGTAATTGATAAATGTAATCACAGGCTTCACGCATCCATTACATTTTGCTTAAACGGCACAGCCAGGGGACCAATTATGAATAATGTTTTGTCTTTATTCATTACAAATCAGATACAATGACAAACTTACGTTGTTCTATCAAATACCTTTTTTCAACAAAAACAACAACAATGACAGGACACTATAATACACTTTATTTAGACATAAGTGTACGTTTTTCTTATACATTCATTTTATACAGTGCCTGCAACACTAGAATTGACATGGCAAATTGTCATTTTGTATGTAATATTTTGTTATAATATTATTAATAAGAAATTCAATAAGTTTATTTTTCAAAATATGAAGGTGTTTTTCTTTTGCTTTAAGTCCTGTGTGCAGAGGCTTCCTGTGAGAACATGCCCGGGTCTCCCTCTGTTTGTACCTCCAAGTCACTTTTTTTGCCAAGCAGCATCACTCCACGAAAAGGAGGCTGCCCAGGCTGCTGAGGCTCTCCCTCGCTACTATGACAGACCCTGGGATTATCTGGACAGTGAAGGTACGTAAAGGAAAATCAATACTGTCCTACTGTATATATCTATAGTGTATTCGCTTGCCTCTGCCTATACTGTACATATCTACCTATAGTATATTAATATCTAGCTGTCTGTATATAAACCAGTTTAATACTTGTACTTGCATCCGCACTATATAATTACTGCTAATACTGTTAATTACACTTTTTCATACTTTTTGCAATTCGACTGTTTCTGCTGCTGCACAAGCTGTATATATATCTTAGTATATTCACTTCACTCCGTTCATTCTGTTAATGCTGCTCATGTATATATCTTGCTAGCATATTCTTAGATATACCTATATTGTTATTTTTAATGTCACTCTAAATATGTACATTACTCTGCACTGTACTGTTCTTTGCACTTCTGGTTAGAATGCTAAACTGCATTTTGTCGTCTTAGTACTTGTACTTTGTGCAATGACAATAAAGTTAAATCTAATCTAATCTAATCTAATTGTCATTGTAAGCCTCTGTATGTGGTTTTACTGTACATTCCTTTCCCCTGACAGAGTACATTGAAAGGTATGGAACCAATCCAGTGTGGGCAGGCTACAGGAGGAACCACAAAGGAGGCATTCCCCCACAGAAGACACGCAAGACCTGCATTGTAAAATTTCTATTTCAATTATTTTATTTTATTTTTAAATCCACCTTACACTGGCTCCATGCATCACATCTGTCATTTAAAGTAACATAAACACTGTTTTTGTAGAGAGGAGACAAGATATGTGGAAATGCCTGTCCAATTTGTCGGGATCCAAACGTTATTATCCACCACCAGGTGGGTTGACACTCTGAAGCTCTCACCGCGCATCAAACACACTGAGTTACAGTTCACTGTAGTGTTTCATTATACGTTATCAGTTTTTTGCCACAAATGTCTAAGAGTCTGAGGCTTTATATTCTAACCATTCTGCTTCTGTGAAGTTGGTCCAGTAACAAAAGAAACTAGAGTGCATCTTAACTGTTATAAATTAAAAAAAATATTCAAGGACCACAACAAATATAAGCAAGAAAAACAGTTGTTTAATGCACAAGTTTAATAAAAGGTTTTTCGCCAAAACATGTAGGTGTCAGTCCAGTTAAAAGCTTTTCATCATAATCAGGACTGGAACCAATATACATATCTATATTTAAAGCTGCAGAAGGTAATTAAAAAATAAAACGTTTTTGCTGAAACTTTCACCATACCCTGACAGTAGTACATGAGACGGATAATCTGTGAAAAAAAATCAGGTTCCTCTAGCTCCTCCTAGTGCTCCTAATGGCATTTGGAAGAATCTACCGGGCCTGAACAAAAACAACCAATCAGAACCCAGAAAGATAGAAAGACTCTTTGGGTTAGAAGCTTGAAGATAGTTGATTGTTGAGTCCTTACCAGGGTCCCAAAGCGTCTGTATTTGACGCCCTGTGAATGAGACTCAACAATCACCTGTCTTTCTTTGCTCTGATCGGTTGTAGTCATTCAGGTCTGGGAGATTCTTGCAAATGCTATTGGGAGCACTAGGAGGAGCCAGAGGAACCTGTTCTTTTTACTTTTTTCAAATGATCTGTCTTATGTACTACCGTGAAGGTTTCAGCAAATATGACAATTATTTTTCTAAAAGTTACTTAATGTAGCTTCTGAGCACTTATTCCATCACTGTTGAATAGTACACTCATTACCTTTCAGAATAGACCAAGATCAGATGTGTTCAACAACAGTAATCATTGTCAGTGATGGAGTTGTACACAAAAGGGGAGTGGCTTATTAAAGCAGATTAATCACAAAACCCTGAAAAACTAGTATGAATGCTATAATAGATTTCATAGTATGCTGAGATGTTTGCAGTCAATATTATTTAGTTTTCTTTCTTGTGTTATTGTTTCAATTGGGGTGATATCACATCATATTAAGCATCAGCATAGTTAGATTGAACATGAAGAGCTTTATTTTGCCTCATTTCCTCTCCTATGGTACGCTTAACCAAATATATCTTATCTTGTAGAATGTGAAATTGTTGCAGCAGTTCATCAGTCCCCACACTGGGATGGTGTACGATCCCACTCAAACTGGTAAGAAGTTGAAAAGTGAGCACATGTAATCTGGTTGATTACCAGGGAGATCATATTGTGATGGTTCTACTGTCTCCAGGTGTATGTAGGAAGCAGCAGAAGAAACTAACTGAGGCCATCAGGACAGCACATGATCAAGGTACGTAACACAAAACAAGATTTCATATGAAATATGGAGTGCCTTACTATAAACTGTCATTTTATCTCTGCATTTCTTTTGTTCTTTTGGAAACTAACATTTTAAGTACACAGTATTTTAAAGATGTCAGTAAATGTCACTGTAGTGCTGTATAGTACAGTATATGAAGTGAGATGAAAATGTTGGTGTTGATGAAGGGGTACTTGAGTTGATCAGACTGGGTATGTCTTACAGAATAGATTGGGAACCACTATGTTAGAGCACTGACTCATGGGACACTAAAATGTACTATAGGAAGCCACACTGCTGACATTCTTATAGGTGGTTAGCAGCTTGTTGAGGTAGGGCAGACTGGGTTTTCTCCATTGAAGGTATTAAAACTTGTCATCAGATGGTGAAATTGATATTAATTGATTATATTGATTAACACTTTACTGTGTCCTCTTTCAGGTTTAATCCCCTTTCAGATTCCACATGTGGAATTTTCAGGAGAGAACTACTCTAATTCCCATGATGCTGTGGGCTCCACACCACCTCCCCAGTCCTTAATCTCTGGCAACACCTGGTATACATGGTACGGGGAAATAACACCTGATGAAAAGGAAGTGGCTAAAGTCAAGAAGACATACAGAGCTTACTTAAAGTGAAGGGAGCTCTCTGTGATATACATATGTACAATGTCTGAGTTTCCACACTGGTTTCACATCCTACAGGTATGAAAATAAAACTTGCACAATAAAACACATGATGAAAAAATTATTTTATTGTTTCGCTGTTGTAGATCATTGTTGGAGACATTTTACCTCCATCTATATTTATAGAAATGTAATAATAGGATCAATAACTCCAGCCTGTTAGAGTCCAGAAGGCAGGGAATAGATACCCCTACCACCCAACAAATCCAACATTTATTGTTATCAGTGTTATTGTGTGAGACATGCTGAGCGGGTCAGATGAAGATGAGGGAGCATATGATTGGGGGACACAGTGATGTGCAGTAGTGTGTCCTCCTGACTCTGTGTGATCATGGGTTGACCTTGTTGACCATGGTCTCTCCCAGGGACTCCAGCACCTCCCGCTTGTAGTCGTCAAAGTCTCCGTCAATCTGGTTGACCGTGCAGTCCTCCACCACCGACAGGTTGCACTGGGTCTCTGTGATGAGCCGGGCATCGTGGCTCACAATGATCACAGCTGGATGAGAAGGGAAAGTGTGTTATAAGTCATAATAAAAGACCCAACCAGTACACTGATGTTAAAGCTGCAGTAGGTGACTTTTTGTCATATTTGCTATAACTTTCACTATATCCTGCTCACTCCAAGTGACAAAGACAAAGGAGCTCA